TCTTTAATCAACAACGTCCTGTAGAAAACTGTATCCCGTCTTGATCTTGCAAATAACAGTATCCAAAACGTTAACACCCCCCCCCCCCCACCCACGCACACACACACACACTAATATATGGTCGTTCTTGCATGCTACAGGCATTTTCAGAAGATGGGAGTGAAGGGATGATAAGCTTCTTTGGCAGCAGTGGCTCCTGTAGATAGCACAGTTACCTATTGATGGGAGCAAGGGCTAGCTATCATGTACTACTACTAGCACGATGTGAATGCGGTCATCCAATTCAGAGCCCCCAGTTACTCCGCCGTACCCCGCAAGGATCGCGTTCCAATCTCTCGCTGCCTGCTGCAAATGCGGCCGCTGCTGCCCGCGTCAGACGATTCAACTTTCCTCTCTTGCTACTCCTAATTTCTTTCTCATTTTTAACCGGTGCAACCAAGCCGATCTTTCCAACTACATCGATCCTCTGTTGCTTTCCCTTTGTGCGCTTGTGTGTGTGTGCGCGCGCGCGCGTGCGCTCTCATCGGCTAGGCGGTTTTTCTTCGGCGATGGCTTTGATTCTCGTTCGATCAGACGATCACCACCCCATTTTCTTGCTCACCGTACGTTTTATGAACTGCTATGTGTAAAAAAATAATACAAAAACGTTTTTTTAAAAATTATATAAATCTAGTTTTGAAGCTTGTAATAGTTGCTGCTTGCTCCGTCCGTCCCATAATATAAGAGATTATAGGTGGATATGACATATTCTAGTATAATAATCTGTACAGACGTCACATAAGGATGTGTCACATCCACCCAAAATTCCTTATATGATGGGACGGATGAAGTAATTGATTAACCTAATGACTTATTTTATTTTGTGTGCAATGAAAAAGCTGAAGCCCACATCTCTTTCGATCGCAACCTTCGGGGCAAAGTTGTGAGCATGAAACCATCGGGAGTATCTATTTTTTACAGTCAGTGGACTTATATGAATTATTCTTATGATCTACATGTATAATTAAACAATGTTGAATTCTAACGAAGGATTGTTGATATATTTGGACAAGGATTAATTGAAAGCTCAAGTCACACTTCTAATGAAGGATTTGTATGAAGTTTAAGGATTAGTTTTGGTTTTTTTTATTTTGCAATATGTTCTTGTGTATTTTTTTTAAAAGTGTTATTCAGTCGAAGCCTGCAGGGGTGGCGTAGAATGGTGATGAATTCGGTAGGGTTAATTATTACTGTGTGTAGTACTGTATTCCATGCATAGTGAGCATTGATCGATCCAAATTGATGGCAAGAAACATTGGACTGAATAAGCATGACTTCTACAGTACGTATGTTGTGGTGCAACATGTCAGATTCATCAAATACCCTTAATTATTGTACTTAGTGATGAACAAAGATGTGTAGCTCCTACGTATATATGCATGTATATTCTAGGAAAATACTTAGGATGGACATGTTGGTGAGATCCTTCTTAAATACTTCCTCCGTCCCAGTCTTTCTAGCATTTAAAAATTGTCCTAAAATTTCTCCCCATTTTACCCCCCAACCATCATCCTATATCCAACTATGCATTATTAATTAAGGGGTATTATAGTTTTTATCTTTAAACCTTAGTACATATATGCTAAATAACCTAGAACGATAAATATTTTGGGATGAAGGTAGTAGTCTATATATGAAAGTTGGTATACATCAATATTCTAATTCCAGTACGTGTGTATTGCAGTGGTGGAGAGTACTTTGTAAATGTATACAAATTAAATCTATTTATGTTCTCCTTTCATCATAAATAAATGTGCCGTTTTTTCTTACGTACGTACTCAAACCCGGCCTAGAACTTCATAATAAATTCTGTTCACAGTTATACTTTATTTAAATTTAAATACCCCCGTTTTAATTATACAATTCAAAATCATTTATCGATCACTCTCACTGTTAGACAACAATACTGAACAACGCATGTGCCACGTCGAATATATATACACTAAAAGTAAACACTACTGATGCTAACACAATTGATGGAAAATAGAAATGCATGCATATGGATGCATATACAACCATTCACCACTGCAGAAAAGCCCTAATTGTTGACTAATCGTGAGATGTGGATAGTTGTGAATAGTCCTCGTGGTGACGTGATACGAAACAGCCTTCTTATGGTTTACTATTAGGCATGATATGCATAATTAATAAATATGATAATTGCGAGCTGAGATCACAGAACAAAAGGGATAGAAATGGAATGCTCACACACATGGATTATATATATATGGAGTAGACCATATATATTGTGTCCTTAAGAAGAGAATGGTGTGTGTATAGACACACACAGAGACCAATTCATATGAGGAATTTTACAGTCGTTAAGAAAATAATTTTGAGGTACCTAAATGTTACACTAAAATTTTTGGTATCTTGAGATACTTAATATTTAGAGGTACAAATTTTTACATTTGAAAATATGGTACCTCTAGGTACCTTCTAAGGATAGTAAAATTATCCAATTCACATATTTTGTGATACTGATTTAATTTGTTAGTACGAAGTGCAGATCCTACTTAAAAAAAAACATTTCAACCAGAGAAAACGTCATGGATCTCTATATATCTTGTCAACATTTTCTGTATATAAAAGAGAAAATGCATGCCTACAATTAATATATACACATTATTGACTTAATTATATATGGAACAATTTTACTAGCTATAGCTAGTTTTTCACCGACTATATATAATTGTTCCGCTGTTCCATGCATGCGTATCATCAATCAAGGAAATACATATATATATTCCTCACTGCTATAGCAGAAAAGCAAACATTTTATTGTCTACTTATGTCTTTTCAGTACACGATCGAGTAATGGCATTGGTTGTAAAGCACATAGACAGTAGTACACAGTACCACTGGTAATTAAGCTTAGCTAATATAAATTGGCTCATGCATGCACACCAGTACTGTAGTTTTGCAGGGCCTGTATGTGTGACTATATTTTTTTTATCCCTATGCATAAATTTCAACTTTAATTATATTGTACTTTTAGTTTAAGCAGATCTTGGATCGATGATTAATTACAAATATAATGCCGATTTCAGAATGAATATGTGCGTGTTGCATGCAAGTATATGTCACACGCATATATTATGACTTATGAGAGTAATCTTCATGTGTAGAAACAACCAAGCTAGCAAGGACTGTAATATTAAGTACGCATCAAAATGCATAATATTAATTATCGAAGGTAGGATATATGCGTATTCCGAGTACTATTACTGTTGTACCCATCTACAGTTAATAGGTCAGTTCTTACATTTTTGGTGACGTGGAACCGACATATATACTTATACAACCGTACGGTTCTAACAAAAGGATTAATGGCATTTATGGGTTTTAAGCTGTTGCAACAACATCAAACAGTGTCATTCAACAATCAAAATGATATGGATGAGTAGGTACGGATTATACACCTAGATTTTGAGTGATTGTACAACTGTCCTACCAGAACTCATGCGAGCTACAGAGGTAGAAAGACATGCATATGGTGATTTTTGTAATAATAAGATGGATGCGAGATCAATGGGACAAGTGTTCTCGAAAAAGATGGAGAGCCATGACAAATAAACTATAGCTAGCTAGCCAATTAGGAAAGCAAAGCAAAGCAAATTCCTAGAACACGACATTATTCCATCACCTAGCTAGCTAGGTTCTGAATAAGTCCATCACATATCCGACCTTCATGCTAATTAAATAAATTAATTTGATACATAGATAGATATATGTTCTCACTAGCTAGAGCTTATATAGTACGTACATATATGTGCTAGACGTATAGATAGCTTATACCGGTTATATGTTCCTAAAATAATTTCTCAACCATGTAAGATCTGTTATATATACTAGATGAAGTTCAACATTAATTTTAAAACCATGTCAGTAATTAATTAATTAGTAATGCAAAACCCATCCTATTTCAGAAGGCTAATTTTCTTTCAGTGTCAAATAATTAATTTCTTTCACTCATATGTAAAAAAAAAGGGTGATTTTTAAGGTAATAGGTGTTGGCCCAGAAAGGAGATACTTAAATTCGGCGACATCAAGTTCCTTTGTATTTTGGATTTTTTAAAAAAATGCAAAGTCATTTTTGACAAATGTTAGCCTAGAAGTAAAGAAATTTAGCACATTGGAACAAGCATCAAAGTATTTTTTTTAAAAAAAAGGAACAAACTAAACTCAGATGAGAATTCATAATTAATATAACTACTATAATTAAGTTAAAACACATATATAGCTGAAGCAACAATATTTAAAAAAAAACGAAATTCCAAATCAAATCGTTTTCCCATTTCCCCCATATGCATGCATCTCCACATAAATTGTCTCCATTTGTCCCCCCATTTAATTGTTTTGTTTCTATCTACCTTTCCCTTTCCTGAGTGATATGTACTATATATATGTAATTACCTAGCAGTTGGTGTGAACATAGCCAGCATGCATCAAAATGCGTCTCCGAGTTGCTACGAGACATGCAGGTAAGAACAAGCAAAGCAGCCATGTTTTTGGCCTCTCCAGCAGCCAAGAGCATGCACAAAAAAAGATTCTGACCAGAAGCTAGCAACACCTCCATGATACTAGCACTAAATTTGAGTACATCACCACTACTGGAGAATCCTATGATCCATGGCAGAAAAAAAAAGGAGAGAAAGAAACACATCCATGAGAAGAAGCCAGCCAGCGCAGAATTCAAAGATCAGATCACGCAACACCGTCGCCATGAAAAAGAGAGCTAACAAAGGTGTTAAAGCTGCAAGAGCATCACTAAAGTGAGACATGCATCCATCCATGCACTAAAAGTGATGGAGTAACTAGCTAGCTATCACACTACATATATACATATATGTATCTGGAGTATCCATGTGTGAAGAGAACTATAATCCTAGGTACACACAGAGGAGGGATGTATATATGAGCAAATTAATTAATCTGTGAAAAGAAATTCACAATATATATCCATCAGAATGAACAAACAGAAGTTTTAATTTCTCATAGCTCACAAAGTCATCAATGATACAAGCAAAGTTTTGAACAAAGGAAACCCCCAAGAGAATGAGAAAAGAAAGAAGAGAAAAAATTCACTCTAGAAGAGGAACAAGGAATTGGACGACCCTTAACAAGTCCAATGCATGAGAACTCAAAAACAGTTCTCTAATTATGCTGCAAGGTGGTGATCTAAAGAGTACTATTATAACTTATACATCTAGAGTACTTCCCAAAGCCAAGGTAGGGTAATTAACCAATTAAACACACCGATTAAAATGCCGAGATGAGAGAGAGAGAAAAGGTCCCCCATATATGTTCTTGCACCACCACACCGCCATGGATATGCCGCAAGAACTTCAAGCTCTTCTCATGTATCTATCCCCCCACACCGTATGCCCTATATACAAAATAAGCTACTACATACCACCCAAGGAAGGAGATCAAGAAGCCAAGAAGCCAAGTAGAGCTAGCTAGCTAGCAAATCAAGTAGTAGCAACACTAGCTAGTGCACTTACACTTTCTTTGCTTCTCTTCTCCTCCCATGATTTTGTTGATCTCTCCTTCCTTCTTGTTCATCAATGCATCCCAAATTGATCTTCCGCTCGCCGCCGCCTTTCCAAGATCATCGACCGGCCGGAGACGAGGAAGAACGCGGTCGGTAGTCGATCTGTGTTCTTGATCTCCTTCTTGATCGACCACCGGCGATGAAATCTTGCAGGAATTTTTTTTGGGTTCTTCGTTTGGTTGTTGAATTGGCTGCTCTAGCTAGCTATTTTTCTGCCTATGAGATGATGATGATCTCTTCTCTTCTCTTCTCTCTATCTCTCTCCACAGTGTGCTCTCTCTCTCATCTCAGCTTTTTTTTTCCCCACAAATTACATGTTATTTTTTAGTCAAGAGATCGGGAAATTAACTCAGGGAAAATTAAGGTGGAAAAAAAATAGAGTTAACGACGACGGCGAACGGCGACGAGCTAGCTAGCTAGCTAGCACAGTCGGCGGCGTGGAGGCGGCGCGCGCGGCAGGCTGGGCTAGCTAGAAGAGCGTCGCTATGGAGGATCCGCAGTTGGCGAGGTCCGGCCATGCCGCGGCGGCGGCGCCAATGCCGCCGTTGCCCCAGTAGAGGAGCGACTGCGCGGACGGCGCCGTGGAGGCGGCGGCGGCGCTGACCGCCGGGTTCATCGACGCGGCCGCGGCGGCCATGAGCGCGTCCGACGCGATGATGCTCGCCTCGACGTTGGACGACGACGGCGTCGGCAGGTCCCAGCTCTGCTCACCGGCCGCCGCCGCCGATGACTTCTGCTGGTGGTCGCCGGTGGTGGCCTCCGCCTTGACTTGGAGCTCCTCGAGCCCCGGCACGATGGAGCCGGACAGGAGCGGCGCGTAGAAGCCGTCGAGGAGGCCACCGGTGGCGCCGCCGTCATGCAGCCACGGCTTGGCCGCCTGGATCTGCGCCCCCGCGGCGCCGTAGCCGAGGCCGAGCAGGTGATCCACCTGCGACTGATGCTGCTGGTGCATCTCGAACGCGGCCGCGTCGGACACCACCGACTGCATGGCCTGGAAGAGCCCGAGGTGGTCACCCCCGGAGCCGCCGCTCCCGAGCAGCAGCGACGCCAGCGAGGTTCCCCCGGTGAGCCCCAGCGCCGACGACAGCGACGGCAGCGACCCTGGCTGCGGCAGCGCCAGCGACGACGCGGGCGAAGTCCCAGCTGCACCGCCGCCAGCCGACGAGACGGCCGCCGCCGCCCCGCCTCCAGGCCCGCCCCTCCCCACGCCGCCACCAGGCGCCGCGCCGCCGCTCCTCGACCGCTTGTTCTTCCGGCACCCGCCGCCGACGGGGACGTTCCGCAGCGTGCCGCCGCGCGTCCAGTAGCGCTTGCACGCCTTGCAGAAGTGCCGCGGCTGCGACAGCGAGTAGTTGTTGTAGTAGCAGAACTTGGTGTTCGCCGAGTCGCACCGCGGGCACCGCAGCGCCTCCGCCCTCGGGTCCGGCGCCCCCGCCCCCGCCGCCGCCGCCGCGCCACCACCACCACCACCTCCACTCCTCCCCGCCGCCACCCCTCCCCCACCTCCTCCTCCCGCTGCAGCCGTAGCCGCACCCCCCGCTCCAGCCATCTCCCAGATCACACAACTCCACAAAAAAACAACAGATCACTCCAGAAATCGATCGATCACGGCGCGCGAGGCCTAGAGAGAGAAACAAACAAACCCAAACACAAACACAGAGGGTAGCGAGAAGCAGACGAGGAGGAGGGGAGGGGGTGGGTGGGGTTTTCAGGGGGGAAGGTTCGCTGACAAGAGCTAGAAAACAAGGCGAGCGTGCACTAGTATTATTGAGCTCTGATGGCGATACCACCACTCTCCTCCTCCTCCTCACCAAGTAGAGAGAGAGAGAGAGAGAGAGAGAGAATACCACCACCACCGCCACACACGCGAGATGAACAGGGTGGGTGAGGAGGGGGAGACGAACAAGAAGAAGAGGAAGATTGAGAGGTAGCCTTAAAACCTAGTTATATAGCGATGCCGTCGTCGTAGAAAGCGTGGTCGATCGATAACGGGGATTGATCGAGCGGAGTTGGAGTTAGTATATATTTGTATATAGCACCAGTGGTGTGGTGGTCGAGTCGTGATAGCATCTGGCCATGCCCGCCGCGGTTGCTACAAACCATTTGTGCGTGCTAGCTTGTCAACAAACTGACGGTATGCAAGTGTGTGTGCCGTGGTCCCTGGTTAGCTTAGCTTAGCTAGCCTGGGGGGGCTTGGGTTATTGATCAAGTGTGTTTTAGCTTGTACTAACTGCTACTAGTACTGTGCTAGCTAGTAGCGAATTTTTGTGTGGTGCGTATGTGCGTGGCGTCGAGCCGTGTTAACTTTGATAGCGTTATATCGAGTGTGAGGGTACGTGTGTGTATATGGACATGCGTTGTGTCGGAAGCACGCAAATGATAAAATGGGAGGTTGTTTTACATATATAGCAGGTAAAGTTTGACATGTAACTACCAATTTTGTTACAAAGGTTAATTTGTGGTCTTGGCAATCCCTTGAGGAAGCATCATAGTCCAAAATATCACTGGTTTGTGATGCAAGGGACTCCCCTTTTTGTGTTCGTATTAAGTGCAGCATTATGTTGAGTACATATACACACACACACACACACACACACACACACACACACACACACACACACACACATATATATATATATATATATATTAATAATTATATTAATTAATTAATTAATTTGCACTATGGTTATATATACTTGGTGTCGGTGGCATGTGAGGGTAGTTATTTTTTGTGTATTACTAATTGTTACGCACAAAAGTAGAATTTGGATTGCGACTACTTTATTCTTACATCATAGATTCAGAAAAAGCCTCGAATATTTGTGTTTTGTACTAAATCAATTCCAAATTAGATGTCATCTTAGACAATTCAAACATGAAATATTTGTGGGCGCCATTTTATGTAGAAGTATCTCACTAACATTATATTTCTTTCGTCCCTGAATTTCATATTTCTTTCGTCCCTGAATTTTAAACTCCATATTTCTTTCGTCCCTGAATTTTGGAAAATGAAAAACGAAATTGCAAACCCCTGCTCAAGACTTCATTGATGACTAATAAGACCATAAAATCAACGTAGCCCTATCTTGTGCCATTGGTTTTCAAATATCAATTTGATATGTCTATGGTTTCTTAATTGCCCTCCGGGATCCAACTCTATTATCAATTTGACTATATATAATCATATACATGATTTATTATTTGGTTATTGTTATCGTTAAGTACAAATGAATGTATATAAAAAGGTCCTGGACTTTTGCAGAAAATGGAGTTTGTAACTTAAAACTAAGTGATTGACAATATAATATCATTATCAACATGAACAAAATGTCTCATTCCCCTAATTTAGCCGCAACTCCAACTCCATGATATTTGTTTTTTTAAGTTAGAGGTACCCAACTTCTATGTTTCTTTAAGTTGGCTGGAGCTGTACTTAAAAAGAGAAATGCACTGTAATGACATACTGTATTAAAAAAAGTTACTGTTGATAAACATTTCAATCTTGGTCAAGATATTTTTCCTGTCCCAGAGAATTGCAGTACACCATGTTAGTTTCCCTAACATCATTTTCTTTGTTTAGTAAACTCACTTCTCAAGCTCGGTGAATATACAACTTATACATCTAAACTACGCTGCAGTTTGTACGAAGGTTTGTTTAAATTTATTATACTAGAAATCGTCATGTTCATCTTAGATTAGTTTTTAGGGGATGGAGAAAACACACCACAGTGTTAATTTCATTAACCAACGTAAAACTCGATTTCTAGAAACGTCAATCTTAGATCGATGTGCATAAATGACGCTGTCAGATCAATGTACAATCCCACGGTAGGACCCGGCCGCTCCTGATAGACTACAAGTCCCCAAACAGTAAAGCATCAACTCGCACAGTGCTACACTTCCTTCATAAAAAAAACTCAAACCAGAAGGATATGTGTCACATTCGAATATAAAAAATCTAAATAAAATTTTGATATTTGTTCATATTCATTTTAATATAATAAATCTGAATAAAATTTTAATATTTATTCAGATTCGTTGCTCTTCAGTATAACGAATTTGTACAAATATTTAATATTTATCTAAATTTGTTGTAATAGGAGTTACGTTTTTTAAGTTGGTTTATTTTAGAACGAAGGGTGTATATACACACCACAGCACCCCTATATTATCTGTGATTATCTCAACCAAATGACCAGTCGATGTAGGAGTAGCAACAAACCGAACAAAGATACTGGCTAGCTAGCTACCTCTAGCTCATCCATCTATGCTTAGCTCTAGCTAGCTATAGCTAAAATTAAGAAATTTGCTGAGGTAGACAGTGAGAATCCCGAGGCCCCCAAAGTTTTTCGCGTCCCCCGAGAAGAACAATTGCCCGCTGTTGTTGCAGTCACTTCCCTTTTCTTTTCTTTTTACTCGTGTGTCCCCTCTTGCTCTCGTTTTATACTACACTGCTGGTACTTTTGCATAATTTCGCTGGGGGTCCCCCGTGAGATTGGCCCCAGGAAAAGACGCACGGAATTAAGCAGTGCGACTGCATAATACTCCGTCCATAAATACGAGGGATTTAACCATGCATATTATTTTACCGAAATTTAAGATTTAAACTGAAATTATTTTGATTTCCTTGAAAATTTACTCACTGGAAAAGATTATGCCGAGCAAAGAAGCAATAAATGTAGTGGTTGTATAGATTGATAAAGCAGTACTTTAAAACCCTATAATATATTTACGGAGAAATGGAAAAGGCCAAAATCAATTAGATGGACGGAGTACGTACTACTAGTAGATTAGATGCACGAGTAAGAATTCCCCGGAGGGAAAACGACAAGGCGTCGATCGGCCGTCCACTGCTCATCGGTCGGCAGGGCAGATTGACACGTGGACCCACCTTGCCTGTGGGCCCCACGGTGGGGGAGCCGGCCAGCCGGGTGCAGCTAGCGTTGCCTCTGTGCTGCGAACGGTGTCTGCCTGATCGATCGATCTATTGGCCAGCCAGAACCGTCCGATCGAACGTTCCGTACTACCAAGAGCGCCAGATTATCCCTCGAGGTAAATAAAAGAAAAATCTCAGTGTGAGCAAGCTAGCTTAGCCTAGCTTTTTCTTTATCTTGCCAAATGTGTGATGCATGCAAAACCAAGAACAATCACTACAAGCATCCGTAATTTTTTTAACGGCCAACTGATTTCTTGGCAGTAAAAAAACAGCCGCCAAGTTTAAATATGTTGTTAATAATTCTAATTTGTATCAAGTAGACATGCTTTTTTTTTTGTGGCTGAGAGGCTTAACAACGAAAATTGATTCAAACTAATGCTTTGGATTGAACACGGACGATAAGTTTACCATATAGCAAACTCACGGTTCGATCAGTCCTCACGTGACTATAGTCTCGATCCACACACGTACAGAGAGTTCGTGCCTAGAGAGAGGCCGGTTGAGGCCGTTGGTGTCCTACGTACGGGGTGGTGGTGGTGGTGCATGCAACAGGCGTGCGTGGGCTGTGCTTGTGCACGACGACGACAGGGCATGTGGACGGACAGCTCACAGCTCCACTACTACTCCCTTCTACCGGCCGCGCACTATGCAACGCATGGATGCCATTGCATGGATCGATGGATGGATGCGTGCAGGTAAGCCTCTCTGTTTCTCTTTCGATGAGTGAGTCAGTGAGTGAGTGCACTGGCTATCTATCTATCTATCTATCTATCTGTACTCGTCCAGCTCTACCTATCTGTCGATGATCGATCTCACGCTGCATGCAGGCAATAGCTGCTAGCTAGCTGCAATAGGCCGTTTAGCAAGCTAGAGAGAGGATGAGGAGAGAGAGGTGAAAGTGAAGGAACAGTGAGTTTGGTATCTACCAGTTTTGTCGCTGACAGATTGTAAGAAGGCCGGGACCGATCGGTCGGCCGGCCCGGCCCCTCTCTCTCTCTCTCTCTCTAGATCACACAATATCGTCCTGTTGACGCACCTGGTGCGTGGAAGTCTTGTTGCGCGTATGCATGAATGCATGCATGGGGCTTAGCTTATAGCCCTCGAGGTAGCACTGACCGAGAGAGAGAGAGAGAGAGAGAGAGAGACTGTGCGTGTGTGTTGAGATCAGGACGGACGGCGTAGTACGCACTACTGGGGGGGCGCAGCATGGCGGCAGTGGTATAGTACTATACTGCAGCGATGAATCGATCGGGGCACTGTGCGTGTGTGGTTGGTACGTCGGTGCGAGCACCTTCACATCTCCCATGACGCTGCTCCAGCACAGTAACATTCGTACCTCCTCATCCGCCTGCCTCCCTCTCTCTCTCTCTAGATCTCTCCTCGCCGGCGATGGCGGCAACGGTGTACGTCCGGCTCGTTCATTCTGATCTCATCTTCTTCCTCGCACGGCCGGCGATCGGCCGGCCGGTGCAATAATCTGCAATGACATGTGTCGAGTGAGCATCATCAGCTAGTTCTAATTTTCACCGTGCACGTATAAATGTGAATCCAATGGACAATGCGCTAGCTCGAAAGCTAAGCATCGCCTAGCGTTTGCATCACTACTTAGAAAAAGCATTTTTGTAGACGTGAGTTTTTTTTCCAGGCGGACATAACCCTCGGAATTAAATGACCACCTACAAAAATGTAAACGAGGTGAAGCTCGCTATCCGCTTGTGAAAATCTATTTTCGCAGGCAGACCACTGCAAAAATTGGCGTGAAATATAAATAGACGCGACATCACTAGATTTTTTTTCTAAGTCCTATCCTCTCGTCTCCCTCACCTCTCCTCTCCCTCAGCCCTCAGCTCTCCTCTCCCTCAGCGACCGTGGGCATTCGGCGACGGGGGCGGCGGGAACCGACGACGGCGACGCGTGGGGGCGGCGGGATCCACGACGGCGAGGCGCTGGGTTGGCGTCGACGACGACAAGGCACGGGGACAGTGACGCTCGGGGGCGGTGACATCCACCCCTGACGCGCCTTGCCTCCCCTATCCCTCCTAGATCCGGTTGAAGGGGGCAGGGGGAGGCCTATGGCCGGCGGCGCGGGGCGGACGGCGGCGAGGCACGGCCGTGCGGCGACAACGTACGCATGCAGCGGTGGACGCGGGAGGTCGGCGGCGGCGTTCCCACCTCCTAGATCCGGCTGGCGGCCCT